CCTCCTCCTATTTTCAGACCAGATCTTTCTTCATTACTGCATACAGAAAAAAAAGGGAAAAGATTGGAAAAAGAAAAGTCAATAGATAACTGGTTACTCCGTGTTTCGTGTCCTCATTCTCATTTTATTAATACAGTGGATTGAATTGAATTCAATTAAATTAAATCCAATCCTCCATCAAAGTTGATTCCCACCAGATTAGCTACGCGGTTTTATTAACAACTACAAATTGTACGCTCTCATCTCACTTTCCCAATTTTCTGAACTATAATCTGTTTCGATTGGTAGGCACTTTTGTTTATCAAATTCAAGATTCATTAGGTGATTATTAATATGTTTATTGTATTTTTTTTCTTCCATTTCTGGTTTCAGATGATTGAGTAGAAGTATAAGTCGTAATAGTCCGTGATTTACTGATTGCTTTGTTTTGGTCATCGATTAATTGGAATTTTGAAACAGAGTTTTGATCCTTTTCAATTTGTGAATAGTGGCGAGAACTTGGATATATACAATGGGAGGAGTGTGTTCTGGAGGGACGGTTAAGAAGAAGCCGAACAATAGATCAGTGGAGGTTGAGCACGAGAAGGCTTCAGGGTTTTCAGGAAAGCTCAAGCCAACGGGGAGTTTCGGAAAGAAGAAAAATGACGATTCTTACGCATATCCTGATGAAATGGATGGTTTTGAGAAGGGGCAGCCCAATCTATACGACTCTGGTGAGCTGTACTTGTCGATTTCAAGAGAATTAAAGCCATCAACCCCAGCTAGAACACCAGCAAACAAGGTATCTATAAACTGTATACAAAGATGTGTTTGTGTTCATTTTCCTTTTTCATAAAATTTTTGTGTTGCGGTGTTAACATTTGTTTGATTTGATGCGCGTTGGAGAGTCTTGGAGCTTGCTTCTGAAGAGTTCATATGAGCGATGAGGTGAATTTGTGCCGAGATAGGGATTTATCAAGTGAATTGTAGATTTTCTTTGGGTTTTGCAGATCATTTATTGAAATCGAAAAGTTTTAAGAATTAGACTGAAACTGGAAGTATTTGATGTTAGTTTGCACTTGTGGTGCTGTGGTATGTAACGGGTAAATTGGAGGTTTCAAAGAGGAAAATCTCTGAAAATAGATGCATATCTTATTGGGCAGGTAAAAATTCTGGTGGTATGAACTATGAAATAATTTACATGAATAAATGGAAAAAATTGTGGCTAAGATCACGGTGCAGTAGTTGGTGAGATTGTCTAGATGAAAAGGAGGAGGAAGAGAAAGGATACGTGGATGCATTATAATAGCTGGTTTGATGAGGGAAAGGAGAAAAATTGTATTTCACATGAGGTGTAGTTTATTACTGCTGGAAGAACTTTGGGTAATTCCAGACGGTATTCAATTACAATTTGTAGTGTTTCTGTTTAACATGAATGTATGAATAAAAATCCAAGAAAATATATTCAGTGAGAGAGATGCTATTCTTCATAAACATGATTTGTCCTTTCACTTCATGGAACGTTGAAGTCAGAAACAAATGTGGTTTACAAACATTACCTAGCTTTATTTTCTGTTGGCAGCAGACCATTTGCAAAAATGTTTGTATTTGCCGGGTATTCAGCAGTTCACAAGTATTTCCTTTATCTGATAGATAAATATGTGTAATGTTACTATTTGAATAGTGGTTGAGCATTTTATTAATCCCCTTCTTTTCCTGAGAAAGAACCAAGGAGAGAGAACTCTTCTGAAAGATGGCATCCCGATAATATGTTAAGGCAAGTTACTTATTGTGACAGGCACCTCAAGTGAGCTCATTTCTTGGGAAGGCTGGCATAGTGGGACTAGAGAAGGCAGTGGAAGTTCTAGATACGCTAGGCAGCAGCATGACAAATCTGAACTCTGGCGGATTTACAACTGGTGTGGCTTCTAGAGGAAATCGAATATCTATACTGGCATTTGAAGTTGCCAATACCATTGACAAAGGTGCAAACTTGTTGCAATCTCTTTCAGACGAAAATGTCCAGTTTCTGAAAAAGGAAGTTTTACATTCAGAAGGGATACAACAGTTGGTTTCAACAGACATGAATGAGCTTCTTAGTCTTGCAGCTTCCGACAAAAGGTGCTTACCCTGATATTTCATGCTATAGCCTGTTCTTGAATACAGAATCTCTCTCTACTCTCTCTCTCCATTTCCTCCTTTTTTTTTTCTGTTAAATATTTCAATGTGTTCCCCCAATATGTAGGGAGGAATTTGATGTATTCTCTCGTGAAGTTATCAGATTTGGAAATCTGTGTAAAGACCCACAATGGCACAACCTTGATAGATTCTTTTCGAAGTAAGTTGGCCGACATGTCATATATTAGGTAACTTATTGCTTTCTTTAGATATTGATGGACATTCACTGAAATGGTTCCATGTTAGGTTGGATTCAGATCCCGACATTTATAAACAACCAAGAGAAGAAGCGGAAATGACAATGCATGAATTATCCACTTTGTCTCAGCATACTTCTGTAAGTTCCATCCTGTACAATTGGTTTTAATTTGTAGATGCTGCATCCTATCCCTTTTACCACTTCATTGCTATCCATTTTCAATGCATGCTTTATTATTTATTTGGTAAAATATTTCTTGCTCCTGTAAACCTGCAGTCTTTATGTCAAACATTTCTACTAACATGTTCTAGACACATGTGATGGGTCTTAAATTCTATTTTTTGGTCTGTTTCTTAAGGCAGTAGTATCAGCTTTTGAACTGATCGCCTTGTGAGATAGAGCATTAGAAAGGCACATAATGCATCTGACCTCCGGGAGAGGGAAGGGCTGTGTTTCTTCTTCTTCTTCTCTCTCTCTCTCTCTCTCTCTTTCTTCTTCTTCGTTTTTTTTTTTGGGGGGAGGGGTTGGTGGTTTGGATCACCAATTTAATTTGTGGTATATAGTAGAGAATCAAGTATTCCTTTGTGTATGGTATATCTGTCACGTTTCCTCTTTATATAGCTTGTTATTGCTATTGTGCAAGTTGTCAATTTTTGTTATTTTGTTGACTACTTGAATGAGGATACTGTCTGCCAAGGTTTTTTTTACATCTAAACTGGATGTGTAAAGTAATTCTCCCGGAAATTGGATAATGGATGATTGACGGCACGAAAACTTTCATGAATAAAACAAAAATCGGTGGAAACTCTCTGAATTCAAGATCACCAACCATTTGCATTAACTATTAAAATATATAGACATTTTTTATTTTTCTGTCTAAACAATTGGAAGTCATAATTTCGTCTGTTAATAATGAGAGTTTACCTGGTGCATTGTCTGCAGGAATTGTATCACGAGTTGCATGTTTTGGACAGATTTGAACAAGATTATCGGCAGAAGCTGGAAGAAGTAGCTACTTTACACCTCCCTCGAAAAGGTTGCATGTCATGTTTTCCTTATAATGAAGTGTTTTTAAACTGATTTTTTTTTTATTGGTGGGTGGGTCACAATGGGGGTTGGGGGATGGTGAAAGGAATATCCTGTTCTTTTTACAGGAATTATAACTTACGTCCCTATAATTTAAGGTAGATGAACATTAAAAAAATTGTTATTGTCTCCTCACCAAAGTTGCATTGACAAGGACACACGACACGACACAACATTTTTATCTAAAGTAGGACATGGACACGGACACGTAGGGACACATTGGTTTGAATTCTTTAAAATTTGAAATTTATATATTACATATTTTTATACTACTCAATAAAGGACAAGGCACGTGCAATATTGAAATTTTCCCGAGGAACATCCTGAAGTTTGTCTGTTGTGCAAGTTAGTTGTAGGCAAGTCTATCACATGTATTGAAACACAGTTTGCACATGAATGAAGCATTCACATTAATAACTTCTTATGAATTTTGTGTTTGTAAGTTTCTACTTCGCAAGGTAGATTATCTTAATTGACAAATCAATCTTTTGTAACTGTAGGAGAGACACTCACGATGTTGCAAAGTGAGGTAAAACATCAAAGAAAACTCGTAAGGAGCTTGAAAAAGAAATCTCTATGGTCTAAAAGTTTGGAGGAGGTACTCATTAGAATTGCTCTCTTACAATCGAATTATTATTATTTTTTTCGTACCAATGATACTGAAAGTATTTAGCAAATATTGTAAAACCACTTAGATGATAAGAATTATGACCATTACAATTTCTTGTGGTGATGTCCCTCGGCACTCAAAATTGGTTTGTTATTTTGTAGGTGGTGGAGAAGCTTGTTGATGTAGTTACTTTCATTCATCAAGTTATTTCAGAAGCATTTGGAGATAATGGTATGAATAATTACACTATTGTTGCTCTCTACTCTCTTTACCCTTTCTTTTTCACGTGGGGAAGGTGGAATATGAGATGGAAATTAACTGCATGATATGACATTGTGAAATGAAAATTGAATAACGTAAGGTAATTGGAAAGCATGAATGACCAATTTTACATTTAGCCCCTGTTTGGCAGAAATTAAAATTAAAATTTAATTTGAAGTCAAAATCAATAACTAATTTTAACCTCACATTTTATGGGACCCACAACTTTTCAACCAAACATTTCATCAACTTTTATCAAAATCTACTAAAAATCTGATTTTAATCCCCGCCAAATAGGAACTAAATGATGCATCTCCTTCTCACTGCTATTTCATGAACAACAAAGCTCCTATTGATGTATCTATCACTGTTGTAATTAAGATTTCTAAGTACTTAGTTTACATAACATTTTTTTCTTTTTCACATTGTTATCCCGCTAGATTTATATGAGCTCTTGGAAGAAAAATAAAAATCCTTTTTGTAGATTTACTCTTGCAGAGCATGCCATCATTTTCTTTTGAACAACCATTAAAAAAATTTACTCTTGTATCTGATAATTTATATGTATTGTTTTCCAGAAGTCCTCCCTTTGTGCATGGGATTATATTCAAATTCACAATGCGAATCCTTTTTGGTTGATGAAAAAATCTTTAACTTTGAATATAAATGCCTGTCATTAAATAATAAGGCAATGCAACGTCTTGGCACACTACAAGCTTATGAAGTTCCTCTGCAGCGATATATTTGCTCCAAAATTGAGCATGCAGCTACTCTGACACCTTTTTGGCCATGAAATGTGATATGGTTCTCATTGATTTAAAAATATTACTAATTCTCATGCATCCTGTATTTTGTATCTTATTTACTGTAATTTTTTACTTTGTTAGAAGTGTGGTTCAGAAATGCATTTTCTTACTCCCATTTTGTGCAATAATGTCAGGGACGTCAGCTGGAAAGATGTCCGAAAACAAAACAGAAAGGCTAGGTGTTGCTGGTCTTGCTTTACACTATGCTAACATAATTACTCAAATTGACAACATTGTAAGTTCTACCACTTTATTTATTTATTAATGTTATACACGTTTTTGCAAACTTTCACTGTGTTTATCTTGGTGGAATTTAATGTTATTTAGGCATCACGACCTACCTCTCTTCCCCCTAATGTGAGAGATACATTATATAATGGGTTGCCACCAACTGTCAAAGCTGCTCTTCGCTCCCAGTTACTGAGATTTGATACCAAAGAAGAGGTACGTTCTCAGGCCCTTTTTTCATTGTGTTAATGCTTTGAAAATTTTCGTTTCTTTTCTGTTGTTGCCTACATTCTTCTGCACGTATATTATATACTTATATTGTATCTGTTTTTGGCTTCTTGTGCCTTGTGTTTCATAACCTCTCTGGATTTAGCTAGTTGATTATGCCTTTTGCAGCTCACAGTTCGTCAAATCAAAGCCGAGATGGAAAAAACTCTCCAATGGCTTGTTCCAGTAGCCACAGATACTACCAAGTATGTAATATTGATATGAATATCCTATCTCTTAATATGAAAACTACACTCTGTTTTTAAGATGCTAAACTCTATTAGCCTTCGTCATTTTTCAGTACCTTCTTTTCACCGTTTCATTTTTGTCTAAATCTTGTGAGACTTTATATGCTCATGTAGTAACTCTTGTCATTTTTCTCATGTTGGCAACTGAAAACAGAGCACATCAAGGGTTTGGATGGGTTGGAGAGTGGGCCAACACTGGGTCAGTCTCTCTCTCTCCTCTCTCTCTCCTCTTCTTCTTTTCATGCTTAAGCATAAGCTTAGGCATGGACAAATTTATTTTCTGCAGAACTCCTCTTCACAATGCCATAATCCAGAAACTTATTATTGTTGGCTCTTTCTGGCAGTAATGAGTTTGGAAAGAAAACGAGCACGCAAAATAACCTGATTCGCTTGCAAACGCTCTATCATGCTGACAAAAAGAAGGCTGACTCCTACATCCTTGACCTAGTGACTTGGCTTCACCATCTCATCAGCCTTGTAAGATATAGAGATAATGGATTTAAGGCTCTCCCAGCACGGTCTCCATCTCGTAAGGGATCGAGTGTAAATGCAAAAACATTTAGCAATGACGATAAGAGTTACAGAGTCCAACTTTCTCCCGAGGATAGAAATTTGTTGGAAGAGGTCATGAAAAGGAGGGAGTTGTATCCGGGACTACGCAAAACCAAAAGCCAGGAATTCTTGACTGTGAAGAAGACCAAGAGTAAATTATGCGTAAGTAAGAGCACTGGGAGCTCTCCCCGGAGAGGATTGGAACTCCCTAAGGCTGATGTTCTGGACATATTAGACGGGTTAGATTCAACATTTGTAGCTCCTAGAGAAGATATTAGATAAATCATTCATGATTCATTCTTTTATTTAATTATTATGACTCTGTGTGTGTGTTTATATGAATCTATGAGGTATATCATGTATATAGCCTTATCTATAATAGCATATTTTAGCACGATATTCATACATGGGAATTTTGTAGTTTGATCAACCCGAGGAAAATATTGTTACTTTTGAGGGTAGGGATTTACTCATTTGGCATCTCCATTTGTGGAGTGAAGGGCTACTTAACTTGTAATCCTTTGGCAAAATTTATAAATAATTGTCAAACTTCATTTTCAATTACATATTTTACTGGATTTTCAAATATTATTTACTAATTCATTACTTATTTTTATTTATTTATAAATTAAACCCTTCATAAATTCTTCCCAAATCGATTACGTGTTTGATTATTTAATTGATAAAAACTATTTATGAATTTGTGTTAATTAGGCACCGTTTGGTAACCATTATTCTAGAAAAAAATGCATTCTTTGTGTCAAATCACACCTTTTTTGTGGTTGAAAATGAAGGAAAAGTTATTGATGTGATGAAAAATATTATTTTATTGATGAATGTGTGGTTGAAAATTAGTAGAAGAATGAGAATGAAAAAAAGAATGGATACCAAACAGAGGCTTAATAAAAAATAATTTATCAAGATATCCTTCATTTTTTCTCCAAATATTTGAACTTTGTGATTATACGAATATTATCGAATTACACACTATTCTATATATTTATTTAACCAAAAGAAGTTAGAGATGAGATCCACAGACATTGATTTCAAGATTTTATAAATGTCTCCTAATCGAGTCATGTATTTATATAATTTCGACGTATGAGGAAATTATTAATTTATACATAAAGTGGTATCAAAATTATACTGTACATCAGAAGTCTCAAG